GAAAAGGGAAACATCGTTGTAAAGAACCAGGTACGTCAGAACGAACAGGACCAGCAATCGCAAAATAGACGCACCTGCGGCTTCTGCCGCACTGCCGTGAAAGTTCACTCTGTCTAAATTGAGAAACGTGGCTTTGCAATTATATTTACGATTTCCTCCTCTGAATTATTACCCTTGCATTCTTTCTAAAACTCCAGTCTCCTAGGAAACTTTTCTGCACCTCATATGTGAAAATTATTCCTAAACATCTTTTTTCTCAGTTGCCAAATATGGTAACCTGTGGTGGCTCATCCCACTACAATTGCAGGTGTGTGTTTTAAGTGGGATGTCACCTTTCTCTATGAGCTCAGTAAGGTATTTGTCACAGTGCTTCATTGTCTAGAAGATTAGAAACTTCGCCATCCAGCGGGCAGCGCTCTGGGGGCTCGGCACGTGGGGACTTGAGGCAGGGGGAGCAGAGAGCTGGGGCAGAGGCCACAGAGCCGGTGTGGCAGAGCCGGGCAGACGCATCCAGCCGGGCTCTGTGGGATGTCGTCTTTCGTTAACAGCTTTGTGAGAGGTAGTCAACACACAGCAAGCGGCACACGTTTACAGTGTGCAACGTGATGAGCTTCGGCATAAGCGTCACCCCTGAAGCTGTTGTCACCGTCAAAATAATGACCCAGTGCCGCCAGGTCTCGTCATGGCCTTCCCCGTGCAGTGGATCTGCTCCTGGGTCCCCGGAGTCTGTAGGGAGGGGCTCCGTGGCTTCTGAGACATGGGGGTGCAGTCTGGGCGCTGTCGCTCACGGTCGTGGTTCGGATCCGCGTGGTGTATGTTGGTGGCGTGTTCCTCTGTGCTGCTGGCAGCACTCCCTTGCGTGTGTTCGTACACTCACCTGCGGACACAGCTCATGTGTAGAGAGTCCTTCGGATTTTCTGTGTTTTCTCCGTCTGTGGTCAATGTCACTTTTATTTCTGTCTTTCCAAGTCTCGCACATTTTGATCTCTGTCTCACGTCTTGCGCTTCCCGGGCCCCCTGGGCAGAGGTGACCACAGGTGGCGACAGCAGGCGTCGCTGTTTCTTCCCGAATGTCAGAGGACAGTTTCAGCATCTTGCCGCCATGTGTGATGGCAACTGTGGGTTTTTGTAGAATGCTGCATGAGTTGGATTCTCCTTTCGCTTTCTAGTCTGATGCAGTGTCTTACCATACACTGCTGTCAGAATCGGTCAAAGGCTTCGTATCCCTGGAATGTGTTAATATTTTATCTGGGATTTCTGTGGCTCAGTCTGTGAGAGTGATGGGCCTGCGCCTCTCCGTTCTTGTGACTTCGTGGTCAGGTTTTGGGGTGAAGATGATGCAGGCCCCGCGGAGCTAGGACTGTCACCCCCTTTTCTGTGCTCTGGACGTGCATGTGTGTGGGCTGTTGGACTTTCCTCAAATGTTTAGTCAGTCACAGGTGAATCCACCTAGGCCTGAAGTTCTTTTGTGGGGCTATTTTTAACTAAAGATTCGATTTTTAAAATAGATGTAGGACTATTAAGACTTTCTGTTTTGGCCAGGCACGGTGGCTCATGCCTGTAATTCTAACATGTGGGAGGCCGAGGCGGGAGGATCACTTGAGGTTAGGAGTTTGAGACCAGCCTGAACAAGAGCGAGACCCCGTCTCTACCAAAAAAAACAAAACAAAAATTAGCCGGGTATGATGGTGGTGCCTGGAGTCCCAGCTACTAAGGAGGCCGAGGCAGGAGGATCACTCCAACCCAAAAGATGGAGGCTGCAGTGAGCTCGATTGTGCCACTGCACTCTAGACAGGGCCACAGAGCAAGACTCTGTCTCAGAAAAAAATAGGTTTTCTGTTTCTTCCTATGGCTATTGGGTAAATTGTACTTTTCTCAGAATTCTCCATTTCATACAGGTCTTCTAATTTATTTGCGTAGAGTTGTTTTCAGTACCCTTTTATCGGCTTTTTTTTTTTTTAAAGGAAAAAAAGTCTTGCTCTCTCACCCTGCCTATAGTGCAGTGGCGTCATCACAGCTCACAACAACGTCAAACTCCTGGGCTCACGCAGTCCTCCTGCTTCAGCCTCCCGAGTAGCTGGCACTACAGGTGTGCACCACCATGTCTGGCTAATTTTTCTATTTTTTCAGTAGAGACGGGGTCTCACTCTTGCTCAGGCTGGTCTCAAACTCCTGGGCTCAAGCGATCCTCCCCCCTCGGCCTCCCAGAGTGCTGGGATTGCAGGCGTGGGCCACCGCACCCGGCCCGGTATCAGCTTTTGCCATCAGCAGGACCTGTGGCAGCATGTTTTGTGCTCCTGCTGTTGGTTATCTTGCCTCCTCTCTTCGTAAACAGTCTCATTTGTCCAGTTTCTTTCTTCAAAGTTTTGCTGCTTGTTGGTCCCTCTTGGTTGTACTGTTTTCTCTTCGTTTCCCACTCTCCCGTTTCTCGTCCTTTCTGGCTACTTTCACAGGGTGAGTTTGCTGTTGTTTTTCTGGTTCCTTGAGGTAAAAGCCCATGTCATCGATTTTTAGTCTTCTTTCGTGACATATTTCCTGTATATATAGACATAAACTTCTCTTTAAGCAGGATTTAGTAGCATCCCATAAATTTTGAGATATCATAATTTCATCAAGTTTAAAATAATAAGTTTTCCTTATTATAAGAAGCAGTGTCTGCTCAATGCCCTAAACTTAGAAATCAGAAAAATACGGTGGAAAAAAACAAAGCAACCTACTTACCCCACCCAGAGACAACCTCAGCAAACACCGTGGGATACAGACTTCCAGCATCTTCTTTCAGTGTATATCGTTGTCCTTTTCAAAGGTGCACACACACACACACCCCGTATGAAAGCGTGATAGACTTATTGTTGCTCTGTAGCCTTTTGCCACCCCACCTCCACCTGTTAAAGTAACTGCTTTGTAATCTTGTAAAATGCCAGACGGGTAGTGCAGTGGTTCTCCGTTCTCCGCAGGGCTGCGTGTGTCCTGCCACTCACCAGGAGAAACAGACTGGAGCGTAAACCTGCCACGCGCTCGGCAGGCTGGAACAGCCCGATGCGGGAAGACGCTGATAGTGGGCCTGGCGCCGTCCATTCTGCTCTCAGCGAACAGTACCGGGGGGTTGCTGTGGGGAGATAAACACCCTGTGGATTACTTCTCTCCAAATTAGTGAAGTCAGGCATGGTTTTTACATAGACACTGATGGGGAGAGATTTAGCTTTTTTTAATTGAACCTGGGAGATGAAAACTAATTCCATAGACAGTGGTCCTTTCTTGAATGTTAATGTTTTACAGGCCACCTCAGGGGCGGTGGCTCAGAGATGTCTGTACTCAGGTCCCTGACAGCCATCAACCCCCAAACGAGATAGAAGAGACTGTATTCAAAAATCCACTGGTGGTTGAGGGGAGAGAAAAAATACGCCAGTTATGGGCTGGACGGCACCCTCCTATCATGACTTTACGAGTAGCCTGGGCCTCATGCCAGGTGGGAGCCGTAGGTTCGCAGTCACTTGCATGCAGAGAGAGCCGAGAACTCCACTCGGAAAGCAGCAGGGACATGTGTTCACACTGACACAAGCTGGGGGCCATCCGCATCAGGTGAAAGAGATGAGGCTTAACACCTGGAAAAATACCTCACGTGTTTGTCGGGTGCAAAGCAGGATGTGACTTGCGATCACGTCTACGGGGTCTCAGGCTGCACGTGGAGCCGCAGCGCCAGGTCTGGGAGCAGCGCCTGGCTCTGACCTGCAGGCTCGCGCAGCTTGGATGTGGCCTCCGTGGGCCGCGTCTTCGGGTTATCGCGGAAACTGATCTGAAATACAAAAGCTGCTTGGGAGGACCACAAGAGCAGACGGACGACCCATCTTCTGCCCGCGTTCGGGGGGCAAAGTGAAAGCCCACATAGAAGTTATAGGGAGATGGGTTTTATTCTGTGTAATAACATCCTGCCTTCATACAGTGTTTCGTAGATTTCACGTGCATTATTTGATCTTGATTTCTTACAATCCGTGATGGGGGAGATTGCAGCTCAGAAAAATAGAACGAGAACTTCCTAAAACTGAGAATTGTCTGACAACCAGACCCGACATGGGCCTGTGGCAAGCTCTGCTGCCCCAGACCTGCTCAGACAGCGCCCGGAGAGCCATGTTGGTGGAGAAGCAGAGGGCGTGGCACGGATGTGGTGTGGACGCGGTGCAGGGTTTTAGGGTCAGGTGCCCTCGAGTGCTGCACTCTGTCTGCTGCCAACCCCGCCTGATGCCAGCTGTTCGCTGGAGACCTTGTTGTGCTGGTGACGTGGCCTTTGCCAGCCTCCTCGTGCTGGGGGTGCAGCCGTGCCGCGGGCCGTGCACGGTGCGACTTGCCCTCTCTCCCGCCGCGTGCTGCTGCTCCCAGCTCCTGAGAATCTGTCCTCAGCATCTCCTTTCGCCCAGCGACACCACTGTGGTGGTCTGGGTCAGCTGTGGTGGCGGTGGTTACACTTGGGACTTTTCTGCCCAAGGGCTGTTGACCGCCGTCTCCCGGCACAACAGCATCCCCCTGTTTTGTTTAAGTAGCCACTTCTTTAAGAAGCCTAGCACCCAGGCTTCATCTTCTCGTCCCACGTGACCCTGTGCTACTCAGATGTGCAGGTCATTGTTAGAAGGGACTTAAAGTAAACTGTAAAAACATAAGAAATATGGTTTTTCTTTCCCAGATCCTAGGAATGAAGTTTTACCCCAGTAAAACTGCAACAACCCTTGCAGCTTTAAAAACACACCCCATCCCATAATCGTAGCACTGTAGCTGCACATGCTCCTTTGGAAAAGAAAGTGGGCTGCTAATTTACACTGTGGTTGGTCCCAGGATCTGAGACGGTGTGATTACCGTGAGGTAAAGCTGAGAATCACCGAAGTCAGTAGTTTAAATTCTGGTTCTACTAAAACTACAAGATCCAGATGGAAATTTTACTTAGCCTAATATGTCTGTTATGGTTCTGTTGTACTGAAAATCGTTGTATTTGAATTTTTTTTAAACAGATCAGGATCTTCACCATCAACCAAAAAGAAGAAGAGTTAGAAAGCGTAAGTCAAAGAAAAACCCCAGCAGTGTTCGTGGGGAACGGGCAGAATTAGAGAAACAGCAGAGTCTCTTGCAAGAAAAATCACAGCCACCGCATGCAGATGGCCCCACAATAAGCAAAAATAAGAAAAGGAAACTCAAAAAGAAGCAGCAGATTAAAAGGAAGAAAGCAGCTGGCTTGGCAACAAAGGCCTCCGGCGTCAGCTTCACGTACCAGCCCGAGGGGAGCGGCAGCGACCTGGACACGGGAGACGCCGACGGGGAGGAAGTTACGGGCACCCTGGAGGGAGGCGTCACTGACTCCAGCGAGGAAGACGTCAAAGTCACCAGTGAAAAGACAGACAGCATCCTAAATTTTTTGAAGTCGACACAAGAAATTTATTTTTATGATGGTATGTTTTTTACTGGTTTTCTTTTGCATAACAGAATCCACTTAAAAATTTGCAGATAAACACATGTAGTAAAATATTTAAATGTTTAAAACACAAAACACATTAAGATACTCAAAATAAATAATAGATTTAAGGCAAAAATCAGAATATTTAAATGCTTTCCACCCACGATGTGGCCTGGCACACCGTGCCCGGCATGTTGAGAGAAACCATGGCAAAGCTGTGGCTCCACGTGTGGGCTGGTCTCCTGCTCTGTGTTCCTCTAGGATCAGATCTGGGAGTGTGCTTGTGTGCTCAGCTGTATTTCCAGGTAAAAGATAAATCGGACTGGAGGTTTGGGTGAGCTCACGTTGGCTCTCACAGCCGTTGGAGAAGCACAGTCTCTCTGCGGGACACGTTTCGTCCTCTCCCACACATAACTGACTATCCGAGGTTCTCAGAGACATTTCTGAGCAGCGACTTGTACTGACACACACATGAAAAGTACGGGTAGATCTAATCTCACGGGTGGTGATGCATGTGTGTCCCACGTCATTAACGACTGACCAGGGCTTAGAGGGAAGCGAGCGCTAACCCGGCCAGCATGGTTACCGAGAGCAAATGCCCTCACAATAAGCCGCTTTCCTGTTTCCATGGCATCATTAGTAGATTTGGGGGAACGTGGCTGGTTAGCAGGTGCCAATTTCAGCAGGACATTTGACAGCGTTCTCATGAGCAAGACTGAGAAGCACCGGCTGAGTATTCATTATAATCTGGGAAGTAACCAAGTGACTTAAACAGTGATACAAAAATACCACTAATGGGGGGTCAGTTTTAACCCAGAAGATGGTTGCAGGTGACTTTGACCCTTTCCCCTTTAGCATGCTCACTGGCAGTTTGTATTAACAGAAATATGTAACGTAAATGTATAACGTAAATATATAACATAAATATATAGAGTAAATATATAATGTAACTAAGTATATAATGTAAATATGTAACGTAAATATATAACATAAATATATAATGTAAGTATATAACCTAAATATATAATGTAAATCTATAAGGTAAATACTCAAACGCCACAGGGGCAGCCCCACTAACCCGTGCAGAACTGAGCGGGAGGATCTCGGTAGATTTCTGTTCCGTGAGCAATGGTGCTTGTGGCACAGTCATGTGAAGAATCGCTGGAAAAGCCAGATCAAAACAAAAGAAAATGTGGAAGGAATGTACAGGCCACTGAGGAAGCCATATGAGGAGGAGCCACATGTGGAGGAGCCACGTTTGCTGCAAGGTGCTTACCAGTTCTGGGCGTGGCCAGGAGATGGCCTGGGGGCAGGTGGAGCCCTGAGTGCTGGACCCACTCAGATCGTTTGTCATCCTCTAGGGCTGAGGAGGCAGAGAGCGCAGGGCTCAGGGGCTGGTGTGAACCGGGGCTCGCGGGATGGGACGTACCCTCTACCAGGTCCCCCTGACGCCTCAGCCAGAGCCTGAGGCCGCAGAGTGGGGAGTGAGGAGCCCAGCACAGTGTCTCTGAACAACATGGCTCCTCTCGGCCCCTCGAAGTGCTGAGCAGACAGCCCAGGGGTCCCCATCCTTCGCCAGACGTGTGCCCCCACCCATCTGCCTGGCAGAGCCCTCTCCCAAGGAAAATGCCATCATCCAAGCCCCCCCCAACTTTTTATACATATTAATGAAAATTTATCAGCCATGCCAAGAGACAGGACCATAGATCCAAAAGCCATGAGAGAAAGGCAAGCAGTGGAGCCTCAGGGGTGGGAGGTATTGCAGTTACCAGGGAAGCCTAAAACAGGGACCAAATGGAGGGGGAAGATGGAAAATTGCAGAATTTCACCAGATAAGTTGAGTCTATTAAGGTCATTTGGTTGAAATTCTAGTCCTGAGCAAAATGCTCACTGAAGTTGAGACTCAGATGAGTGAGCAGCAGATCAAATTTCGCTACAGAGAATTAGTGACTGGGAAGACAGGACAAAGGAAGCCCCAGAGCGAGGGGTGCAGGAGAGGATGGCAAGCACAGGAGTCGAGCGGATGCGGAGCCCTGCGAGCAGGTGCGTCTGTGTCCTCACTGCCCTCTGCCTCGCCCCCGATCCCGGGTCAGGGAGAGTGGGGGCTCCCAGAGCAGGTGCAGGCGGAGTCCCAGAGGGGAAAAGACGCATTGTCTTCACAGAAACAGCAGAAGCCAGGACTGTGTTTTCTGGTTTTTCTTGATGTATCCTAAACAGCCAACGGCCCTACTCTGTTGTAAAGATGCTGATGCAAATACAGAGCTTGGCCTCGTCTCATTTCCCCGCCGTGGCTCGGGCGCTGCATCGCGTCTCACACGGGGAGGGTGTTTCACGGGGTCAGCCGCGTCGGCAGAGGTCGGGTCTCCACGCTGCTCGGACAGCGGGTTCTGCTGCCTCCGTTTCCATCTCAAAGCTCTGTCCCGATTACCTCTCCCGGCAGCTTTTTGTATCCAGACATCTCATTCTATGGGGAAGCGTATGTCTGAGGGTGTCCTTAAGAGATGAAAGGTTACCTTTAGTTTACAAAAACACAAATAAGACTATATTTCTAAGTGACCCTGACTTTGTTCAGGTGTCTCCAAAGATCCAGATGCAGCTGTGTGTGTGGAAACCTCGGAGGAGCTTCTCACCCACCTTGCGAGCCACAGCCTGCCTCCCTCGGACGTGTTCATCCTGGACCACATGAAAACGCTGTTGCTGCTGCAGGACACCGAGAGACTGAAGACCGCCCTGGAAGTGTTCCCCGAGCACTGCACGCTGCCTCCCGGTAAGTGCCGTACGATTTATCCATTTCCTTCCTCAGACATTCCCGTCCGGGTTTGCCTCTGAAACACACCCGCAAAACAGCAGCATGTCGGAGAATAGAAGGGCGCACATATGGTCTGGAAGAATAGAGCCCCACAGAGAAATAGGTTTCTTTTATCTCTGCTCAGTGTAAAAATATTTCACATAATATATGCAGAATTGCGTGTGCAATCTAATTTTCCAGACTTGTGAGCTACCAACTCTTAGAGCCAAATTCTCCCAAGTTTAAATAGAAGTGGAAGAACTCGTCTCTCCTCCTCCCGCTGGGTTGGTGGGAGGTGCCTTTCTTCTGTCCCAGTTGTCTGGGACCTCGCTGAAGCCCTGTGGTCAGAAAGAGCAGCCAACGCGGATGTGACTTTCCTGCCATTGCTGGGTGCCATCTGTGCAGACTGCAGAGGCTGGGCCGGTGTGCTCTCAGCTTCCCACGCCACATGCGGGGCTGGGGGCCCTGGTGAGACCTGCAGACCGGAAAGCCAGGCTTTCCCTGAGGCCACGTCCCCTGCATGCCTGAGCCAGCATGGGTGCCAGGCCAGACAGTGTGAGGCGTGCGCGGTGTCCGCCCTCAAAACCTCGGCCACTGGGCAGTCGAGAGTGGAACACTGCAGAAGCTGATCGCCACTCGAGTCCCGCGACCAGAGAGCAGTTCCCGTGTGGCACCAGTGCTGCGAGCAGGTGACCACGGGGCCGGGCAGCAGGGATCCGCCGCACAGGTGTACTGCTCAGGGAAGAAGGCAGGTGGGGACTCTGCCCTGGTGCTCGTGTCCTAATCCAGGAGTCAGAGACGCAGCAGGAAGCTGTGAAATGTGTGAGGATCTTGCAGAGATGGAGCTCCAGGGGGAGCACGGAGTGAGGGGTGTTCTTGCCGCCAGGGGACAGGAAGAGCTGGGGTTTCTGGAGCCCGGGGAGCGAGGCTAGAGCCCGGGAGGCTGGAGTCCAAGGAGCGAGGCCGGAGCCCGGGGATCCGGCCTGGAGCGGCAGCAGTTGGGCGCCTGGTGGGGCCCTGGTGCTGCGCAGGCTTCTGTGCAGGCAGAAGCAGGAGGCCGCTCTGGGCTGCTGTACTGACCCTTGCCGAGTGGCCTGCAGCTGAGAGGGGTGGCCAAGGTCCCCGTGGACCACGGAGGGACAGCTGTAGGGTTTGCCGACTGCCAGGCAGGATGTGGGAGCCACGGGGAGAACTGAGTTGCCAAGCGGGGCAGGGACGGTTAGAAGGGGGTTTGGAGTGAGGCCCCCAGAGCGAAGGCTGGGCTGGGCTTGGCCAGGCGCCGGGCAGTCAGGCAGGTGAGGCTCGCAGCAGCCGGCGGGACCTGGGCAGAGCCGCGTGGGCTGGGGCACAGCGGGCAGAGAGACCAGAGAGGTCAGAAGGGGCAGGACAGGGGCAGTGGGCGAGGCGTCCTCTCAGAATGAGGCAGGTGCCGGGAGAAGGACGGCGTGTGGCCGAGAGACCTCGGGGTGTAGCCCACAGGTTCTGGGTGGTCGTCGGCCTGTTTTGGTAAGGGTTCAGCAGATCTAGATGCCCATGACAAAGTTTTATCTGAAACTGCAAAAAGCCAGTTTTGTTAAGTCAAACTACTATGAGATTTTTGTGAGAGATGAAAATGAGGCATTTGAAATTTTGGATTTTAAATTATTAAAATTTTTTGTCTGTTTCCTGCACTGGAGACTTTTCCTGTGCAGTGTCTGAAACACGTCAGATTCCAACAACCGTTGGGGATTTAGCAGGATCCCCAACATTCAATCCCTGGACAAGTGTTGTCCACAAGGACATTTGCTTTAAGCAGTTGATAGATCTAAACCTTACGAACCCATGTTCTGTAAAAACGGGTTCCCTCTGAGGGCGTGTAGGACGTGCACTTAAAGTTCTTCTATGTCAAGAAGAAATAAAATTCTGTGAAATAAAATTGTATGAACAGGGAAGCTTCGTTTTCAAATACTGTATTTGTCTGATGCAGATTTGGCACATATAACTTTTTGAAATTAAGTTTTCTCTTTCAAAGTTTAATTAGCAGCTATACTCCTCATCTCTGTGGGATCCGTGAGGGATAAGTGGGCATTTAACAGCAGGTGGAGGGCGGTTCCCACCTGTCATGGCTCCTCCCTCCCTTCCCTGGCTCAGTGGTCCCTTCTCCCAGGTCGTGGATGCTCCACTCGGGGAGGACGGGACAGCAGGTGCTCCTGCAGCGTCAGGACACGACCATGCCCCGTGACACTGACGGTCCCACACTTAGTGTCACGCATTGTCCTGTGCACGCCATCATTCACGGCAGCGCCCGGGCATTGAATTTTTATCAGGCTCTAGGCACCGAGAAGGTGTGTGGGAATTCCCACGTTTCGTCCTCTGTGCGGGCTCAAGTTCCTGTTGTCCTGACTGCTGAGGCAACTTCCTGTGGGTGGGGTCGCACCCGCCTGGGAGAATCGTGGACGTGAGAGTTTCTGGGGGGCCAGGGCCCTCTCCGGCAGCACCCCAGCCTCTGCGTCCAGCCCAAGCACCAGCTCTGATGCCCCGAGGTCCTGACCTGGCATTCGCCGCATCTGCACAGCTGTTGTTCCCTCTCGGGCTCGGCCGTGCTCTCTGCCGGGAGCGCCAGAGGCAGCAGGTCCAGGGCGGCAGTGTTGGAGGGGAGCCCCGACATGGAGCAAAGCGACGTACGAGGAGAGTCTCTGCTCGCAGCTGTAATCCCCCCAGGAGGCCACAGAGGCTAGCGGTGGTGCCGCAACAGGCCCCTCCTGGACACGTGCACTCAGCGTGCTGCTGCGGGCCTGGTGCGCGTGCAGCCCGCATGCTGGGCGGGCCTGTGGCGTCTTACTCGGGACTCCCCCGTTTCCATTATTCGCCGTGGACACAAACGTGTTTCCTTCGGGTCTCGGCTGTGTGTGGTTTTCTTCAGATCAGGCGTGCCGTGGTGCTGGGAGGCTCAGGTCTGCTGGAACTGTGAGCCTCTGGTTCACGCCCAGCTGAGACACACGTGCCCAGATCCACCGTCTGCCATGTTTGTTACGTAACGTGGCTCACGCGTGTGGTTTGCCACCACCAACATCATTTCATACCCAAGTTGCATTTTGTTAGATCATTTCAGGGTTTACTTTGGGCTCAAAGGCTAATTATCTACAAAATAATTTATGATTTTTCTTTTTGTCTTTGTTTTGTTTTATATTTTGTTTGTTTTGTCTTTGTTTTTTGTTTTCCAGACCATGCCAGAGTAATCTCAGCTTTCTTTAATTACTGGATCACAAACATCCTTCCTGAGAATAACAGTGAATAAAATCAGATTACCTCTTTAAGAAGAACTAACATTTAACAAGAGAATGTGAAAGACCCTACGGAATGGGCTGAGAGTTAACCCTTACGGACAAAAACGATTAAATTCTCACTATTTCCTGGTAACCCAAATCCTGTGAACTTTGAAGACGTTTCTGCCGTATTATTTAGTTGTGTGTTTGTACATAATGCGTACGGCGTCATCTGAGGCTTTAAATGAGAAATTGGGGTAAAATTCAAACTTTTCACTTATTTGCAATTACTTATGTCTTGAATTACCATGTGAAACTTGATTCTTTTTTTCTAACTCTCACAAAAATCAAAAACGGATATTCTAGTAAGTTAAATAAACTATATAGTTTGAAGCTCTTATATATTTTTATAAAGTTTTAAATCACCTTGCATCTGAAAGTCTCTGTTTTAAGAATGCTTTGTGAGAATTAACTCGTTCTAGTTTAAGTAGTTTAATTGCGTTTAACAGCAGAACTTCTTTTTTCCTTTTCACTAGGTTGAGAATAATATCAATAACTTATTTTTCCTGTTTCGTCTTTCCTCTTTGTCGCGGAAGCTGTCCCGGGTTTTTAGCATTGCTGAGTTTAAAAGCATCAGTCGGTACAACGTTTTAGGAGGACACTGGCTCTGTCCATGAAAGTAACAGTCTTGTTGTGGTAAGTACACGTAACATTCACCATCTTAGCCATTTCTAGGTGTGCGACTCGGTGGCATTGGCGTGTTCACCACGTGGGGCCGTGGTCACCTCTGGCTCCTCACACGTGGACCTCACTCACCCCCCTGTCTGTGCAGGGGCTCTGTGAGCGCTGCTGCCAGGGACGTTCCCGCACAGGGTCCGGTGTGGACACTGTCTGCACCCTTCCTGGGTGTGGGCGTGCCAGGCACGCGGGAATGCGCGGCTGAGCTTGGGGGTGCGGCTGCCCCGTCGCGCGGCCCCCGCAGCAGCTGCGCAGCCCGTGTTCCTGCCAGCGCTGGGTGTTCCAGTTTCCTGGTGGGTGTGAGGAGGTGTCCCATGGCGGTCTGGACTTTCACTTCCCCAAAGACCGAGGATGCCGAGCGTCCTCCCGCGCGCTGCCTGCCAGACGTCTATTCAAGTCACTGCCCGTTTGCGCAGTGGGTCGGTTGGGTTCTTTGTACGTCCTGGAAGACAGCCCCTTTCCAGATGTGTGACTGTAGATATTGACTCCCATTCCGAGGCGTCTTTTCCCTCCGTGGTGTGTTCTTGATGCAGTACAGTTTTCTAACTTCGGTGAAGTGCAGCTTATCTGTTTCCCTTTGTTGCTACACTTCTGGTGCCGTCTAAGAAATTGTCGCCGAACCCAGTGTCATACAGTTTCTAAGAGTGTTATAGCTGTGACCCTATGTGTTCGCTGCTCCATTTTGCGTTAATTTTTGCACATGCTGCAAGGTAAGGGTTTGGCTTCCTTCTTTTGTGTGTGGACATGCGGTTTCCCCAACACCATTTGCTGGGGACACTGTCTTTTCCCCATTGAGTGATCTTGGCACCAGTGACCTTACAGCAAGGGGAATTTCCGAGATCTCTGCTGCTTCCGTTGGTCTGCACGGCTGTCTCTACACCAGGATCACGCTGCTATGACCACCATCACTTGGTGCTAAGTTTTGAAATCAGGAAGTATATATCCCCCAACTTTGTTCCTTTTCAAGATTGGTTGGCTATTTGAGATGCCTTAAGATTCCATATGAATTTTAGGCTGGGTTTTTCTATTTATGCAAAAAAAATAAAATAAAAAGACATTTTCTGTGAGTTTGGTAGGGCTCTCGTTGCCTCTGTATATTGCCGTGGGGAATACAGACATCCTAACAGTAACAGATCTCGCACTTGGACCCTCAGCGTCTGGGGCTGCCGGGGGTCTGGGCATGGAGGCCCATTCTCCACGCTCTCTGCCCTTCCCTCGTCTGCAGGTTTTGTTCTCCTGTGTCTCTGTGACTTTAATCTGGCAGTCCTCTCCTTAGCACAGGAACTTGTCATGCATTTCTGCTCCTGTCTTTGGCGTGTTGGCTCTTGCTTGACTCTTCGTGGTCACAGAGTGGCTGCTGTACTTCCTGGCATCACATCTGTGTCCAAGACAAGAACCATGGGGAGAAGGGGTGATTCAGGCACATCCATTGTCTTGTCAGGAACACCTGCTTCCCTTGGTCTCAGGTTCCTTTGGCCGTGGTGGGGTCACTACGTGGCTCCTCATGGCTACAGGGGAGTCCAGAAAAGTGGTAACTAACCTAGTTAGTTCCTTAGACCAGTTACGATCCACTGAGACTAATTCTCAGCATGGTGCTGTGCACCCCGCCCAGTTGGAGTTTGCTTCAACAAGGAAGGGAGAATAGACGTGGGGAAAGGCTACACGGCACGTCTGGCTCCTTGATGTCAGGCCGATAAGACCACAGGCCACTGCCCATTTTACAGATGCAAAAGCAAAGGCCTGACTCACAGCCTGGGAGCGTGAAGCCTGCTCTTCTCGCAGCTCTACTCAGCTTGGCACCAAAGACTAAGTCGGAAGTTTCCATCCCTGGCTGCGTGTGGCTTGGACAAAGAAAACTGCAAACTATTTTGAGAACCTTCCAGTGCCACGTCTGGCTTGATCCATTCCTTACGTCTCGACTCTGAGGACCCTTCTGTTCTCTGCCTCACTCCCACGGGCCCCATATTGCAAAGATCCTGTCTACAGAGGGGATGAAAACCAAGCCGGATTTCCCATTTACAAAGGTAACTGACACAACTAGTGAGACCCCATACTGGACGTGCAGCCCAGGGCCACCACCTCGAGCTGACGGCGACCTCGGGGCTCTTAGTACGGTGCTGACACCAAAGCAGATTCTCTTGTCTCTGGTGGGAGCAGGAGAAGCCGTTGCCTGCTCAAGCACATACATACAGGCCCTTAGGTGTTACACGCACCCTCTCAGTCCCGTGAGACAGGTGTCTTATCTCCGACTCACAGATGAGAAGTTGGAAACGCAAAGAGGTGCCCAAGTGCCAAGTGTGGACTCCAGCCTGGGTCTGCCGCTGGCCGTCGTCTGGTCTTCCCAGTAACCGTGGCCTGACTGGGCTGAGTGTCCTCATCCAGCTGGAGCCCATGGCACAGAGGCTTGGCCCACTGAGGAGACAGATGGTACTGTCAAGCGTCCTGCTAAGTGCCAGCACTTTCCCAAAGGCTGCAGAAGGGAGCAACCTGGTCAGTGCCAGGGAGCACCCTGCTCCCGGCAAGAGTGAGCAGGAACTGACCACTGGCCTTTCCGTGGCTCGCCCTGTACAGCCTCCCCGACCAAGAAACCAAGCACACCGTGATGTGATGTGAGGCAGCAAATATAAAAAATAAAACAGAACAGAAAATCTTCACTTTTGTCACAGAGAGACGGGACAAATCCCGGCGATTCCGGATGAGGGTGATACAAGGACACGAGGCGGTCCAGGCTGGCAGATCCTCTTGGCAGGCTGTGAACCACGTTTTCCACGTTAAGAGGACCTTGACCAGGTCATTTAGGATGAAATTATTCCTGGGAGAGATCTTACTTCTCAGTGGGAACTTTCTCCCTCGCAGCCCGCTAGCAGGCAGGCTCTCTAGCTGCCATTCTGTTTATGACTCCGAGCGGGATTCAGATGCGTCTCTTCATCTGAAGGCAGGCGGAGCCCGAGAACCCGCGGTGGCACACAGAGCGGCCCCCACCCCGATCCCGCCAGCCCAGCACAGGGGCCGGGGCCTCCAGCCAGCGTCAGGCCAGCCCTTCCGAACCTAGTGCACTCGAGTCCTCACGTCTGCCGCTGAGTAGAGTCACCAGAGAACAGGAAACATCACGGTTTCTGAACAGACCCAGATCTAATGACAGGCAGGCTGTCTGCTGAACTCTACAAACAGTATTGTGCAGTGTATCTTCACTCTTCTTTTTTTTTTTTTTTTTTTTTGAGACAGAGTCTCACTATGTTGCCCGGGCTAGAGTGCCGTGGCGTCATCCTAGCTCACAGCAACCTCAAACTCCTGGGCTCAAGGGATCCTCCTGCCTCAGCCTCCCGAGTAGCTGGGACTACAGGCATGCGCCACCATGCCCGGCTAATTTTTTCTATGTATTTTTAGGTGTCCGATTAATTTCTTTCTAATAGTAGTAGAGACGGGGTCTCGCTCTTGCTCAGGCTGGTTTCGAACTCCTGAGCTCAAACAATCCGCCCGCCTCGGCCTCCCAGAGTGCTAGGATTACAGGCGTGAGCCACCGCGCCCGGCCTTCACTCTTCTTTAAAACAACCACAAAAACAGTCTTACTGTTCTTGAGAAAACTGCAAAGAAAACTATACAAAGAAGGCCAAAGTGGATGTGGAAACTCAAGTCACACATTTGAAAGATTTATATGTGTAGAAGGAAACAGTGAAGTGTGAAGGACATTTCCTATTGTAGAATGGATGAAAACCGAATAAAAATATTCTTTGCTAGGCAGAATAAAAACTTTTTTTAAAAAACATGACTTTTTTTTTATGGGACAGAAAAATGGGACCCTTTTTTGAAAATGGCATTTCTGTTGCAGACCTTTGCAGGATCATGCCTTTTTAGCTCAAGGTGAAAATGACATTGTGTAGCAGGAACGCAGCCTTGATCAACGCACACATCCGGAGGCTGAGAGAGAACAGAACCGAGGACTCTTGTGAATGTCAGAAACAGGCTTAAAATCACGCACCACTCAGAAACAGGTTTAATCCTATTTGCTGCAGGGAGAATAAATTTCTGTCTAAAGAAGATGTCTGAGACCTGCCTTTTATTATTTTTAACATCTTTACTGAGATAAAACTCACCATGAAATTCACTCATGTAAAGGGTACAACTCACAGGCTTTCAGAATATTCACAGAATTGTACAACCGTTGCCACATGAGTGCTAGAACATTTTTATTACCCCAAAGACATCTCATATTCTGTATCCTTCACCCTCCACCCTACCCTGTGCCCTCAGCCCCATGGGACCCCACGGTAAGTGGCCTTTTGTGTCCAGCTTCTGTCATGAAGTGTGGTGTTTCATTGTGTTATAGCATGAACCAGTGATCATCCCTTTTTGTGGCTGAATCATATTCCATTGTTGGAATATTCCACGTTTTCTTTATCCAGGCATCAGATCATTGGTGTTTGGGTTGCCTCCACTTTTTGGTTATTGTGAGTAATTCTGCTATGAACATTTATGTAGAAGTTTTTGTGTGGACACGTGTTTTCATTTCTCCTGGGTACACACCTGGGAGTGGAACGGCTGGATCCTATGGTAACTCTGTGTTCACCTTTTTGGGGAACAGCTGA